CAAGGAGCATCTGTGTCTTAAATGTCTTCATGCAATGCTTAACTGTCTCTCTACAGCAGCCAGTTGAGCTAGTTTTCTGCAGAATGTTGCATTAAAGTCAGATTTTCGCAAACTCTAACCTGGATAGGTTGCCAGACCACACCAGGTGCTGTTTCTTATTCCCTCCAAATTGTCTGGTTTCTATGTAAGCACATGAGCTGGTTTTTCGGAAAAGGCATTTCTTTTACATTATATCATTTTTGTTGAGTTAGTATTAGTTCACATCACCATGTATAAAAAAAAATTAGGGTGCATGCTCACACCTCTTCAGATATATGTCATCACACTCTGCCCTCTACCAGAGCAACAAACCCTCCACCATAGACACATTAGACCTCCTTTCTTTTCTAGTTCATTCCTTCTATATAGGAACACAACTGATTGTTATTTATGGATTTTATAGCCTGCCACGTCGCTCCCCTCGTTTATTGTTTCTGGTAGTATTTTAGTGGAGTCTTATTATACCTCATATAATTTTATTTGCAGATCGTGATAGTTTTACTTTTCACTCCAAATTCGCATCACATTATGTTTTTCTCTTGCCTAATTGCTCGAAGTTGAAGAGCAGTGGAAATCATTGTTTTTTTTTTAACCTGTTTTTGTAGGAAAACCTTACAGTTTTTCAACATTGAGTGTGATACTAGCTGTGGGTTTTTGTATTTACTTAGTAGATTGAGGAGTGTTCCTTCTTTTTCCATTTCGCCTGAGAGTCTGTCATAAATGACTGTTGAACATTGTCAAGTACTTTCTCTGCATTCATGAGAGAAGTTTAGTCCCTTACTACACAGCACAGTAGCTCCACAAGGCTTAATGGTTCTAGATGTTCGAACTTCACATACTCAAGTTGTCATTCTTCTGGAACCCATAAAGGAGACCCTCCCCTTCCTTCTGGAAATTTTTTCTACCTGGAATTTACCTCACACCTGCAGTACATTTGAAAATACAGTAGAAACCTGTTTTTGCCTAAGAAACAAAGTTAAATGGGGATTGGAAAATGCTGACAGCTTCAATGTTAAACGCAGTTAAATGGAACAGTTCTGCTAAAGGCTTAAGTGGTTTTATGAGTCCTCCCCCTTGAACGTCAGCATTTTGTTTGAATGGGGCTTAATGCTCTGGTTGCACAACGCTTTCTCGGCTCCATGCAAGGCAGCGGCAGGACTGGCTGACTGTGGAAGGTTTGCCAGTCTGAGACGAGGATACTGACTCTGGGGTCAGGCTTCTTAGTGGAGTTGCGGAGGGCGAGCAGAGTGGAGCTTTGGGCTCTCGAGGGGACACAGCCTTCAGAGCCCTACTGGATCTACTTGTGCACAAGTGTTATAGGCATTGAGATCTCACCATGTTATGAAGTAGATAAAACAAGCTCACCTTTTTAGGGTAATTTTATTTACTGGGGACTGATAATACCACCTGGAAGATGTTCTTTCCATCTGCATCACAGTGTTCCATTAGTACAAACATAGAACCCAGTGAAAAATACACAAAGGATGAGGTCACTTGATCTGGTTCTTCGTGGCTAACTGGAGTTTGTCTGGAAGTCTTAAGTCTAGGGACAGCCTTCCTGATGGAAGACCTTGGATGGGCAGAACTGGAGGCTGACATGGTTGACTTGTGATTACACTGTCATTTCCTCCACTAAGATAAGCCTGTTTTTCTCCCTTCTACCAAGTAAACTGGATGATGATCAGCTTCCTTTATGCTCCTGACCTCTAGTGTGGGAGTTGCCAGCTCAGGCTGCTCTGTACCTTTTGTGCTTCTAGAAGGTGCAAAAGGAACGGTTAGAAGACACATCTACTCAAAGAATTGTTACCACAGAAGTAGCTTTGCTCCAGGGAGGTTAAATATCTTGCCAAGTTCACAGAGCTATAGGGCAGGGATTCAAATCCACATTTTATGTTTCAAAATCTTGTTTTCTTTTCACTTAAAGTTGTAATTGCTGTGTGCACATGTTTGCTGACTTCTAATTAGACTATTCTACAATTTGAACCTTCTTTAAGTTGAAAACCTATCTTTCTTTGCCTCTTCCCAGCCCACTGATGTTGGCGTGAGGTTGATATAATAGTACATGCACTATTTTTAACCATTATCTTTCCACATTCTGAAAGACCCTCATTCCCCCTCTCGTGAAATATGAATAGCCTTTAGTTATTTTTGCCAAAAGAGGTAGAAATTGATTCCAGTAGACATGTTTCCTGGGAATCGTAAAGGTTTTGAATGATGTTGTGTATTAATCTATTAGTCTCAGTATAGCATCCATGAACCAGAGAACCTCAGGGAAGGCACTGTAAATTAAACCTTATTTCCCTCATGCTTTTCATTTTTAGGACTTTCTAATCTCTGCCCTGAATGTACACATGCTATTTGAAACTCATTCTGCCTGAAAACCAACCCACACTAAAACAAAACAAAATGCAGCACAGACACACACAAACCTTTCCTTTTTTTAAGATACTAGAATTATTGAATTACTGGAAAAGTTTATATACATGTTCAGTAATTTTATTTACCATTCTATACTCCTCTCTCCAGTCCAATCTAATTAGAGTTTGCATGAGGATTGGATAACAGGAAGTACTGGTAAGCTGACTGCCTTTCTCCTTTCTTCTAATATGAACCATCTGAAGTCAGCCCAGCGTAAGAATCTCAACATCAAATATGTGGAGCCAAGTGAGCACATCTGTTTAAGTGATCCAGATACGAATGGGTGGCTGCATCTCATGTTTGAGCCATACAGGGCTGGTGGTCAGTGTCCTAAGGATGTGCTCAGACAATCTTATCCTAGTAAAGAAATTCTGCTTTTATTCACAGTAACCCTGAATGGGCAGGTCTGCTTCCTGCTCTGAAACCCAGAGGAAGCTTCTGGTTACTGAATGTGATTGTGTTGAGCGGCACCTTTTATTGAGTTAGAAAGATTTTGTTGTATCATTGGCAACTAGTTTTCTAGAGTTAAGGGAATAATGATGGAGCACTGATTTAGCAGCTGTGTCTGAGGGAGCTTGGATGGTCTCATCCACCCAGCATGGGGATGTGGGGGTCAGACACCTCTGGATGAAGTGAACAATAAGAGTCTTGGAAAGATGTTGGAGGTGGGAATCAGGAGTCAACAGAGCCTACTCCCAGTGGCCTTGGATGCTGTTGTCAACTAATATGGGTCCTGAGCTGGTGTGGGGTTTCTCGTGCAGGGGTAATGTCACATTTAAGTTCTAGGCCATTATCTAGGCATTTGGCAAATAACAGCAACCTATTTTCCAACATAATATAATCATGATATGGGACTATTAGAAACAAGTTGAGACAGAAGTGTTGGATAAAAAGAACCATCTTTTATTTCATGGTTCAGATTTTCTTGTTGTTCTTGTGAAATCGCGGTATTTTATTCCTGTAATAATATTACTCATGGATTGTAGCAGATCACTCTTCTTCTCTGTTCTTTCACTCTTATTGCCAAACATTCATTAAATAACTACCATGCTGGCTCTGGGGCTGGACCATGATGGCCATGGTCCATCAAGGAGTTGTGAGGCTAGCTGAGGAGACAATAAAGAGGATCAGTAAGAGAGCATGGTGCTAAAGTGGAGTGGGACTGGAGGGGGAGAAATGTGCCGAGTGTCTGTGTGGCCAGGCAGGGCTAGTTTCTAATTCAAAGGGCAGAGTCGGAGATTTCCTGACAGTGCCTTTGGAGCTGGATCTTAAATGAACAAAGAGGAATAAAACCACAGAAATGAATGGAAGTGGTAGCCCAAGGGTGGAGTAGAACACTGCAATCCAAGTTCTCACAGTATCCGAAGAGCAAGGATTCCATTTGGAAGAGTAGGTATAATAGCAGTGAAAGAGAACAAGAAATGGGTCAGATTGGGGTAGGGTTGTAAAAGAAAATATATCAAGATAAATGTCTGCTGAATTCTGGGGAGGTTGCACCTGCCGTGGTAGGATGTGGATGGGGTGGGGGTGGAACCAGCTTAGCTCAAGGAGCTTAAGTGGTCCGAGAGAAAGGGGAGAAGTTCAGGGGACTCCTTATCAAAACCCTGAGGACAACTAGCGCACATCTGCTTTCAGTGAATTGCTTCCATCTTTTTATTGTCTAAACTTGAAGGCAAGCTTTTTACTGACTTATCTAGAGTGATGTAACAGTGGTCAGCAAAGGTAGGGTGCAACTGGCTCTGTACTACTTCAGCCCCTAAAAGCAGCCAAGTGGTATCCAGACCAATGCCTCATTTTATGAGGAACCTGGAGGTCATGAAAAGGGTGTTTTCAAAGGCCACACTTCATAGATGGTAGGTAGGTAGGTAAGTAGGTCAGTCAGTTGGTCAGTCGATCAGTCGGTGGTTGGGTGGGTGGTTGAGTGGATGGATGGATGGATGGATGGGTGGATGGATGGGTGGATAGATATGAATGGATAGACAGATATGGTGACAGATACCCAAATACAACTGAGTACACACATGTGTGCACAACTGAGAGGGATGGTTACAGGAAAATCACAGAATGGAGCAGGGAGGGTCAAGAGACAGGAGTGAGAGTTACAGTTAGAAAGTATAACAACAGCCACCATGGTGAATTATTTCTACTTGTCTTGCTACAGTGGACATTATGTAGAATTTTTTGTGTGAACATATATTTTCATTTCTCTTGGGAAGATATCTGAGGGGTAGAGCTGTTATACTCATTTGTGAAACTGCCAGGCTGTTTTCCACACCATTTTATACTCCTACCAGTAGCACATGAGGATTCCAAACTCTCTACATACTCACCAACACTTGTTATTATCTATCTTTTAGATTATGGCCATCCGAGGGGGCATGATGTGCTGTCTCATCACTGTCATCGTCTGTATTTCTCTGATGCTCATCATGTTGTGAATCTTTTCATGTGCTTTTTGGCTATTTGTGTATCTCCTTTGGAGAAATGCCTGTTAAAATCCTTTAGCCATTATTAATTTCTTTCTCTTATTTTGGCCTGAGCAGGATGCTGACATGCTAACTGGTGATGAGCAAGTATGGAAAGAAGTTCAAGAATCCCTGAAAAAAATTGAAGAACTGAAGGCACATTGGCGTATCCTTTCCCCTATGGGTTGAGTTGGACTAATGAGACTATGTCCTTATCGAAGGGAGCCTGGTGTTAATCAAGCCAAGTCTAGGACTTGACCTCTCCAATCAGCTTCATTCTCTTCCCCAGTCATAGGCTGTATCCCTGATATTAGCCAACAGTTTTGTCAGTGTCTAGGAAGACTCTGGCTATTGCAGCATGAATGCCTCACTACCTTTAGATAATTATCAAAAGTCCATGGCTTAGTAATAGGACAGTCAGCAGTAATCTCTTCACATGTAAAAGGTAACACATCTTCCCTTCCTCCCAAGAACTATATCTGTCGGAAAGAATCACTTCAATTCCTTCTTAATATTAGTGACCCTCAGATGTAGACGCCTCATCTTAACTTAACCGTGACTGCGATAGCACAGGGCTGCACAATAAATCTTGGCACGAATCTTAAGAGCCATGAGTGACTCGCACTTCAGATCACTGATGACAAGGGTCATCTGGGCAGCTTCCATGGATAGTCTACTGTGTGTGAGGAGTCCGGAGTCAGGGACAGACCGGGATGGAAAGAGGCTGAGATGGGGTCACTACCAGTAGAAGTATCTATTTGAGCAAAAATGTGACAAAGGGAAATCACAGGTAGGAAGAAAGAAACTGAAGTAGATAAAAACGATTGTAAAAGATCATCATCTGCCTTAGACAAATGACATTCCAGCACTAGAAAAATCTACAAATTAGGTTTCTAGTCTGCAGGCAATGTTCCTTAGAGAATTGTGAAGGACAGGAGAGGTAATTAGAGAAATATCCCTATTGTTAATAGTGATAAATAATGTCTGAAATCTCTTGCCCAGTGAGATTTTTCATTTTAGCAAAGAATCTAGAACTGGTTACTAATGGAGTGGAGAGGAAGCTATGATCACCAAGATGCTTTGTGGGTTCACTAAGTATTTCCAGGCCAGCACAATGCAGGAGAGCCCGCCAGCAAGAGTCGCCTGTGTGGGCCCCAGAACGTGACGTAGCCTGCGTCAGGAAATGCCCTGGTGATGGTATGCAGGCGAGGGGTGCAGGGCACAGCAAGAGGCCAAACTTTACAGGTGACGGGGTCGCTCCCCTTTCGCTTTCCCCCTAAGCTCCTGTGGCCATTTCGAAATAGTCAGAAAAAGAGCATCTGCTCTGTCCATTGTCCGGCCCCGCGCCCGGGGCGGGTTATCGGCCTGCTTCGGGCTAGAGCTCTTCGCCTCTGGAACGCAATGACATGTAGTAAACACCAAACAAATTCCAGCCACTAAAATTCTGAGCAAATACATGTCAGCATCAGCTTGGGGGCAAAGCCTCTTACTTAAAAGGATTCCAAATATTCTTGCCCACTGGGGTGTTTTTACAGAAAGGTTCCCGTGTTTGCCAGGAGATAGTTGCCGGTGTTGGGAAGGGAAATAGGCAGGCAGACCCTCCCCGCTTGCCGGGGGGGAACCGGGCCTGAGGGCCCGAAGCCCTCAGACCTTTTCGTCCCATGGAACTCCAAGTGAGATGCATTCTGAGCCGCACAGGTTGAAGGCGGAGATGAGGGTGTGTGGCCGCAGCCGGACACGGCCGCCCAGCGGCCCCTCAGCCTGAGCTACCCTCAGCACAGCCTCCAGGGGAAGAAACTGGATCCCGGGTGCCCGTGAGCTGCGCACTCTGCGCCCCGCACCTCTCACGGGGAAGCGCAGTTTTAGAAAGTGGAGTCGCTCGAGGCTCCGTGACAGTAAGTTCCCACTCGTGCTGAATCACGAAGTCAAAGCAGACGTGGGGTCTTCTCCTGCCCGTTATTTGAAAGCATCCTGCCCCCGCCCTGCAATGTATGTGCACAAGGTCTGTTCTTAATATTATCTTTTACTTGGGGAATTTAATAAGACCTTTATTTGATGGCACATAACTGGATCACTTTGCTTCATCATCAGAGAACTTACGTTTGCGAGCCAGTGGAAGTGAGCGTCTGCTCTGCTCCCCAGCGCGTACCTGTGGGTGGTGTCTTTGGATTCGGGTGCTCAGGGACAGCAGCCAGGACCTCCCCATGTTTATTGCTGCTCTATTTACAATAGGGAAAATGTGGAATCACCCCAAAGTAGATGACTGGATTAGGAAGATGTGGTACATATACACATTGGAATATTACTCAGCCATCAAAAAGAAACTCATGCCTTCTGCAGCAACATGGATGGAGCTGGAAGGGATCATGCTGAGTGAAATAAGCCAGAAAGAGAAAGGAAAATACCAGATGGTTTCACTCATAGCAGGAGCATAAGGGATCGGGGAGAAAAAAGGAAAAGAGAGACTAACAAATGTAGTAGAATAAAATGAACAACTGTAAACCAGAGACATTTTATGGGGCTGTGAGGGGGAATGGGATCAGAACTGGGGTGGGGAGAGTGCACTGGACTGCGGTGACGGCACACGGGTGATTTGGTGGTGGGAGGCCGACGGGGATTACAACTAAGATGGACAAAGGCACAAAATGAAGAATGATCTAGATAGATAGATAGATAGATAGATAGATAGATAGATAGATAGATAGATAGATAGATAGATAGATGGATAGATGACAGATAAGGGGAAAAAGGGGAATCTCGGGCCCTCAGTGGTGGCACGAAAGATTAGGATGCAGCACTGCAAGCTGGCCGCAGCCGCTTCAGTGCAAGTTCGATCCCCGTCCCGGAGGTGACCCACAGGGCGCGGAAGACCTCTCCTGACCTGGCCGCCTCTCCCCTCGACAGTGTATTTCGTCATTCCACCTGTTCTGCTCCCCACTCTTGTCTCTGGTGAAGCCTCTCACTGCCCCTGTACACCTTTGGCCTGTACCCTTGTTCTGTATGAATATATAAATAAATCTGTATACATACATACATACATACATACATACATACATACATACATACATATATATAAAGAGTCTCTATAAAGCTGCTTTAACTTCGGATCCACTTTGAACCCGAAGTCAACAGTAAATACTTTTAAACTGAACTAACTCGCTCTAGGGTTCAGCTTAATAAACAGCTGCTTCCCCTTCATGACAAGGTTTAAAAAGGATCCATACTGGAGTAGAAAGAAAACACGGTTCTTTGCAAATCTTAATCTCCCAAAACGCAGGCTTGGGGAGAAGACGCGTTGTTGATGTAAACAGAATTTGCCTCTCTGAGCTGCCACTTAGTGTTTTTGTTTCTCAAGTGTGTTTGCAGGCAGCTCATCTGCGCAAAATAACGGTGCTTCCTTTCCTCCTGCGCCTGGTAGCTCTTCAGCCTGTTAGTGAATCTCATGTTACTTTTGTTTCTCTGTCTGAAGACAATACACCCTTAACTAAGGTTAATAACAGAGTGGGAGCAGGTTCTGGCCATGTGCCAGGCCATCCTAAGCAGCAACTCTGAGAGGCTTCCTGATATCAACATTTACCAGCTGAAGGTGCTCGACTGTGCCATGGACGCCTGCATCCACCTCGGACTGCTGGAGGAGGCCTTGTTCTATGGCCTCCGGACCATGGAGCCATACAGGTGGGCCCCGGGGGAAAAGAGGAGATGGGGGCTGACGTGGGGAAGCCATCTGAAGCCACTTTATATTGAGCGTCCACTGTACTCCATCTGTGTAAACCAAACCTTGCTTGGCTCGCTCACTCAGCATTCGTGACGTCTCTGCCATGCGTTGGGGACCATGGGTAGGCATCGGCAAATGACAGGCTGTTTCCACGTTTGCCCGTTGATTCTAATACTCTGTGTAGCCTGCCATGGTGGGGGAGCTCTGGTGGGGGGGCAGGGAGGCTGAACAGGTGCATAGGACACAGACCTGGACCACCAGGGAGGGGGTGTCCTGGCCCTGTAGACACCAGCGTGGATGGCAGTGGGGGCCCACAGTCTGGTTGGCTGATGATGGTGACGGGCCCTTCCATTTGTTGGGGTGTTGTGGTTCCCAGGGAACTTAACTTGAATCGTCGGCCCTCAGATCACCCCATGACCCCAGCAGGAGAGCAAAAACACAGCCCAACTCAAGCACGTCACTGAGTTAAGAGAAGGAATGACTGGTCATAAAGGGCTTCTTGAGTGACCTCGGTACTCCCAGAATTGTGGGTGTTTTATCCCTAGATGTCCTTGTAACTCAGAAGGACGGTGTTGACGTCTAATGCTGGCGTTGGTGTAGGGGTGTGGGACCCTGGCGAAGCTTGGAAAGTCCAGGGCCATCAGCCCAGGGGAGAGGGGGCGGGGCCTGACACACACCCTGAAGTTGGAGTGGTGTGTCCAGCACAGAGAAGGCCGCTCACCACTGGGGAGGTGCTCACCACCGGAGGGCAGGGGCGCCATTCTGGGCAGATGGCGACGTTTTTATCTCTGAGAGCCTTGCAAGCAGGATGTCAGTGCTGAAGCGCTGAGCAGAGACTCCAGTCAGGCCATGTGAAAGAGGATGAAGGCAGAGAAGTGACTCTCAGTGAGAGAAGGAGACAGACCTCAGACTACTACCACCTATCTCCTCATACACAAGATACTCAGGAAGCCCGAGGGAGGTTACCAGGAGCAATGTGAGTCTGGGATGTAGGAGCCATCAGGCAGAGTCAGGAAGCGCCTGTGAAGTGCTTACTCAGGAAACCAGACCTGGGCCAGGTGTGGTTCAGGCAGGGAGGAACCTGAGGAGGACAAAGACATCCAGCCAGGTGGATGCCAGAGGACCATGGGCCAGCTCGGCACTACGGTGACCCTGAGGGTGTTTCCAGAACATTCTTAGTTCTTTCTCCCACTGCCTTGTGGTCGAGCAGCTTTGGAATCCAGACGGTGAGTCAGCTTTAATCAAAGCCTTGAGGGCTGACCGAGGACTTTCCCATCGTGTGAGACATTGATTCAGTGTCATGCATGTTGTGGTTCCTCTCAGAAAATGGGAACTGAACACAGGTGAGGCTACATCTTTGAACCCTGGCGTTGTAGTGAGTGGAGGTCGGGGTGGCTGGTGTGACTTCTCTGAATGCCAGGCCCTGCGCGTAGGGACTAAACCACAGACTGCCGAGTGAGGGGTGGGCACACAGCCCCCAGGAGACGCACATGAGAAACGCCTCCGCCCCCCAGGACCCGAGCAGCCCCGGGCCCACATCGACCCAGAAGGCCACACCCTTCCAGGGTGCTCATTCTGCCTTCGACTTCTGTACCCACATTCCCTCACATCTACCAAAGCTTCTCTGAAGGACTTTCTTTCTTTTAAGATTTATTTATTTATGCATACAGAACAGAGGTATGGGGGTGGGGTGAGAGGATTCACCAGAGGCAGAGTGGGGCACAGAATAGGCAGACTGACTGAAATACACTGCTGAGGGGAGCAGCGGGGAGACAGGAGAGGTCTGCTGCGCCCTGTGGATCAGCTCCCCAGCCAGGATTGAACTCGCATCGAATTGGTGGCAGCCAGCTTCACAGTGCTGCACTTTAATCCATTGTGCCCACCAGGGAGGGCCCAGGACTTACTTTCCACCTCTTAACTGACCGGCAGTCCTACTGACTTAAAGTTGAATCAGAGACCGTTTCTGTCTTCGAGAACAAGTCTTCCAGAACAATACTCCATGTTGTTTGGAGTGCGTAGGCTTGTGTTTTTCCTGCTATTTGGCACTCATAATCTCTGTGAATGCAGATTCTTTACTCTGGATGATAAATTTCCAAACCTCCCAGTTTTCCCTCCATGGAGCTTGTGAACAAGTTGCTCTGTGGTGCTCTGCATGCCAGGAAATCCAGTCTGCCTTGACCTGCTTCAAATGAGATGTGAACCATTTGTTTTCAAAGGCATCGTAGAAGGAAGGGCTGTAAGTAACTTACACACCGCTAACAAAGTCAAGAAAAATGGGTGGGTGGGGGGTGTTGCTGGCAGACTGTCCAGTTTTTCCTTTTACTCCTCATATAGAAGTGAAAGAAACAAGTGGGTCAAATGTACAAACCCCCCCGCCCCCAAAGCCTGTAGCAGCCTGAGAGTGTGAGGGGGCTGGAAGCTGGCGGTGGTGGTCAGCCCTCAGTGCGCCTGAGTGAACTCCCGTTCACTCTCTGGGCCCTCCATCGCCATCTACACAGCGGACCTGCGAAAGCTCTACGTGTGCTTGCTTGCTGTTGGCCATGAGCTAAGGACACAGTGGTGAGGATCACAGTCAGCCCTAACAGTTTTACAACGTTAATATACTGTTTGCAATAACTAGATGGAGGTCAAGTCTCCAGTGATGATTTTATCATTCCTGACCTTGACCTAATTTTAACTACGGACCTTAAGGAGAAAGTGCCCACATTCCATTTTCGTGAGACCATTATGTTGCACCGAGCCCCTGATGGCTACCCTGTCAATAGAGGCTCTCTTTATGATGCGATACAAATGAAGTTCTTCATGTTCCATAAAGCAAGTTGGAATTAATTGGTGTACAGCAAAATATAGGACCTTCAGCTTAGCTCATGTTTCTTATGAGTGTCAGTGGAGATCTTTATGTACAATTATTGGCCCTGTTATTGGCACCTTAATCTTACTAACATTAAGCAGAATGAAAATCACTGGATTTCATACCTTTTTATTTAACTCAGTCAAATACTAGCCCTGAGAGAACTCGTATACCAACACTTAGTTTGCCCGTTGGTGGTGCAGATGACGGTGAGATCCCCAAATTCACTCTTAGAGGTTGGCTCAGCCCCTACCATCACCAGTAAATGCTGTAAAATTGGGGAGGAGAGGCCAAGGAGAAAGAAATTGCTTTTCAGGGGCTTTTCGAGGCTTTGAGGGGACTGATGAATGTTTTGTTGTCTTAATTGTTGTGTGAGAACAGGAGACCTTTTAGGAAAGGACATTTTCAAAAGAACACAAAGGTAAAAATCACCCTCACCTCTCAGATCCTTTATGCCACTCCCTATCAGCCCCTAGATAAACATGCTAAATGTCTTTCTGAAATTATTCCAGAAGCAACAATCCAAGTATAGTCCCAAGCTGCTCAAGGCTCAGTCTGATGTGGAGGAAAGGAGAAAATCAAAGGTTAATAGAGAAACACTCACAAAATATACGCAGAGCTTCCATTCTCCCTACTCTTTCAGATTTATTGAAAGCCCCTTTTCCGTTTCCCTTTGTTTTCAATAATTTTCAGGCCCTGAAGACTCCTTTTCCCTCCCTCACAACTCTTTACCCCTCAAGCTTTCTTGGTCTTTCTCATTCTTGGGGGAGAAACCCAGTCCCCACCTTGATCTGTTAGATAGTCCTGGTAGGTAGTGGCTGGGGAAGGAGAGGAGGAGGGGAAGGGGTGAGAGAGGCTCAGAATTCTCCTAGCTGGCAAACTCTCTAGCCCACCTGCTGCTTTTTCCACTACACAACAGCACGGGCGTCTACGCAGACCCGCTCTTGGGTATGTTCCTCATTTTTTTTAAACAGACACGTAGCATTTCATCTCACGAATACACGAGACTTGGATCATCCACTGTGTTTGTTATGTGAAACAGTGCAGAGGCTGCCAGCCAAGAGCCACCCTGTGTGAGGCCTAGTGACGAAACTGAATTCTAAGGGCGCGTTCACGCGGTAAACCCCTCCAGGCTAGACGGCTGCCCAGAAGTCATGTTCCTTGTCAGTGTGGACAACCCCGTGACCACGCATGCCCACGGTAATGTCAACTCTCCCCTCAGGACACTTGAGGGGAGAATGGGTGAGACGGTTTTTATTGTCTCTGACCTACATTCATTTCAAAATACAAACAACCTGTTTCCGATCTAAGTCCACTCTTACCGGCTTTGCTGGTTGACGCTGTTGTCCGCAATAGTACTTTTGTGGCAGGGGAGTGACATTTTTGCGAGGTAGCTGAGCGAGAGGCAGAAGAGCAGGAATGGTGAAGGGGCTGAAACGAGGCCCCGTGGTCGGAGAGAGAGCGAAGAGGGTCTGTGGAGCTGCCCTCGAAGAAGAGAGCTGTGCAGAGAGCATGGTTTCAGCTCACTGTTGCTGGGGAATAACTGGGAAGACCAGAAGTAGACGCAGCGGGTGTGTTTCAGTCAGGTGTTGTAACACGGCGCCCACCAGTAGTTCCGCGGCACCCACAGCAGCTGGGCTTTGCCAGGAACCGCTTGAGACATTGCTTCTAGGTGTGGCTGTGTTTTGACCAGCTATGCTGGGTGTGTCCAGCCTTGAGCCCCTCATATGTCTTTGTGGCCTCAGTTCTAGAAGAGAAGTCAAGGACAGTCTGTGCATAGTATGACAAATGGCTCCCTGGCCCCCGCTTCCCCCAGAAAAAAGATTCCGGTGGCCGTGGGCCCACCCACTTTCTTAAGTGCTGCGGCTCTTCTGCCCATTGCTGGGCCCCTGGTGCTGTGGCAGTTGGTTCTCGCAAAGCCCTAAGCGACACAGACGGCCGGCGGTTGGCCAGCAGCTCCCTGGGCCAAGCTCAGTCCAACTTGATGTTTCCCACCTGACCTAACTTGCTGAGGCTTCACTGCTATCCGGGAGGACGGTGACCCAGGCCTCTCCTCCAACTCGCTGCACAGACGAAACAGATCCGTGCCTTTGTCACGTCCTGAATACA